TGTGGCAGGTGGTGATGTAGAGGCCCGGCCCCGGACAGCAGAAAGGACAGCCTCCCATCTCACACCCAGCTCTCTCTGTGAGCTGCAGCTGAACCTATGGCTTTATTCAGAGGCTTGGGAGGAGGCGAAAGCAGGACACCGGCACCCACAGAGAGTCCTCTAATTTAAGAGCCCTCTCTGATTGGATTATGCAGAGGAAATAGGAAAAGCTAAATCAGAAGAGATGGCTGGAAGTGCATTATGGAACATTAGACAGTGGCTGATCAACATCAGACACAAATAAATGGCCATAATCTACTGTCCAGAACATGAAAGGTTCCCAAGTGGTACCCTGGCTGGCTTCCAGGCAGGGGAGTGCAGAACTGGACAGCAGGTCTTTTCAGCTACAAAACTCCTGCTCTGGGTCATATCCCAGCAGCCAACAGAAGATTCTGGTGTCCAGACAGTATTCACATCTTTCCACATGATCTCACTCTATCAGACTACATTTGGGTCTTCTCAGCATCTGGTCTGTTTGGGTCTGTAGACTCAAACATCATCTGGGGAGCTCCTGCCTAGCTGGGAAACCCTGTATTAGAAAAGGGAAGCCATGTGTCTCTGTGGTGGGCCTAGAGTAGGTTGGCTCAGAGTGTCTGAAGAGAATGTCTGTGTAGTGGTATTCCCCTGGTTCCAGGAGGTCTCCTCTCTGAAAATACCTTGGCTGAAGCTCTTTTATTAGAGCATCCTTTAGTTTAAGTCCCCCATTAAAATACAAATACCTTCAAAAGAGGGATAAAGTTGTACCCTGGCTGGTCCTATACACTTTAGTATAGGGTAGTCTTCAATCATTTGCTAAGAGCTTTCGGCGTTGAAATGCTGAGGAGAAGGCTGGAGGGAATGGAGAATAAAGAATCTAGAGGAGAGTTTCTGAAGGATAGGAAGATCATCTGTAGGACATGAAAAGCTAGTATCACTATTTGTCCATGGATATTGGTTTACCTTAGTAAAAGCCCTGGACTTAAAGTCCGAGGGTGGGCTTCCAGTCTCCAGCTCTCCCCATCTTATGTTAGCTCTGTGATCTTGAGTAAGTCACTTAACCTCTCTGAGCCTTCACATCCTCAGCTGAAAAGTGGAAGTCATGCCACACCCATCCCAGAGGTGCTGTGAGAATTACATAAATCGAAGTGTGTGGAAGGTCTGCCCTTCTATAAATATTGTCCTTGGGTCTGTGCCACCACATTCTAGAAATTGTACAACTACTGAGCTACATCTGTGAATGGATCTTGGAGCTGAGTCAATCCGCAGACCCATAGTGAGCCCAGCCAGGGCCTGCCAAACCCAGGCTAGATCAGCTGACCTTAGTTGGCCCACAAACACATGAACTACAATGATAAATGATTGTTGTTTAAGCCACTGAGTGTTAGGATGGTTCATTACTGAGCAATAGTTAAAACAGTGTACCAAAGTACAGCTCCAGACATTTTAAACATTAGGCCCATATTCAATAGAAATCATTCTAAAATATATCTGACCCTTATCTGCCTTCTTAAGCAAAATTAAGTGCACACAACTCAGTCTTCACTGGGTCATTCATACTCACAGAGTGAAAAACAATTACTGTGCTATAAGTCAGTGCTGATACCTATAGAACATGGGCTCTAGAAATAATTCCAGTCTACTATTCTTTTTGATCTCAGAACTAGTCCCTGCTCATTGGTCATTTCTCTTATAATCAGCTTTGTCAGCTGTCTTTTTTTGTTGTTGTCCTGGTGTCCATTGTAAGCAGGAACTCACCCTCCCTAGTCTAATGCCCCACACCTAATTTGCCAACCTTCTAGAAACCTGCTGTGCAAGTCTGCTAGAATGCTGTCTAAAGTAACAGTTAGTAGATTTGGAGTAAGGGCCCAAGCTAGTTTCCTGTGTATCAAATGCATGTGCTTTAGTCCTAGGATTTCTATTATCACTTTTGGCCTCTTTGAGGCTTTTTGCTCCCTTCTGTGGTTCTCTTGTGGGACCCGGCAGTGGAGGTTGCCAGGTAATGAACCTCTGATCTAGACAGCTGGTGCTGTGTCTGGAGTTGTGAGAATCCAGTCCTTCCTGAAGAGAGTGAAGGACGGGTTCAGCTATGAAGGAAAGTACTGCCCTCCAAGCCTGTAGGAGCTCTTCCTCCATCATGGCCTTCCTGGGCCTGTTAGCATATGCTGCCTGTGTTTTAGCAACGGATGCCCACTGATCCCCCAGGGCAGAGGCAGGATCCGACTAGTCTCTGTGTCCTCTGTAGCCCTTAGAACAGTGCCTGGCACACAGCAGGCACGCACAAGGGTACGGCGGGTCGCCCTGGTTTCTACGAGCACTGGGCTTGCCTTCTTCAGCAGAGTAAGAATTTACAAGCTTCTGAATATAGAACATTTCACGTCAAATTATTGGAAAATATTTTTGAGGGATTCAAGTTGTCCTGTGTCACAGAACAGTTGCCATTTGGGGTCCTGAGTTTATTTCTGAACCATGCTATGAAGAAGCCATGGCAACTAAGTGTGGGAACAAAGCCAAGGGACTCTACAGGTGAAAGCAGGTATTTTTGGCTCTGTTGAGCTGCTACCTTAGTGATTCCCCTAAGTCTATCCCCATTGTTTTACCAAATTTCTAAAGACCACATTCACAAGCAGAAGGTCTGGATTTAGAAATTCCTCAGGAAGTGCCGATGGCTGCTTGGGCTAGCGATTCCACATTCCCACTGCTCCCCCTCACTCTGCACCCCAGAAGCTGACCCCACAGACTGCATCCAGAGGTACCCCTGCCCTCCAGCTCTGGGCTGGGTTTGGCTAATGAAAGGCAATGCCGAGAGGTACATGGACTGAAGGAGAGAGGTTGGGGTATTTCTTCTCTCCTTTCTCCCTTCTTTGGGTCCCTCTGTGGTCATAGCTGTACCTCAGGTGGCCCCTCCTCTAAGGTTCCACATCTTCTTGGCATCAATTTCCCCATTTCTTCCTCTTACCTTTTCAAGCACAAGGGTGGTAAAGACTCAGCAAGGTTGCTAATTCCTCGACTTTCCTTGTCAGTTCCCTTAACCCCGCTCACACTCTGAAAGGGGTCCCTTCGTTTAAGTCTTTTCATCTGAAGTACTTCTTTTTCCTGCTGTTATCCTGACTGCTACAATCTATAAAGTCCTACTTAAGAAATGTCTAAGCTGCACCAGGGGTCTCTCTAGGGCAAGGAGTTCGGAAAAAAATTAGAGGTTCTTTTCTCTCTAGCTTTCAGAACTTAGTAGCCATTTGGCTCTATCTAAATTACGTGATACAAAATGAAGGCAAGCCTCAATCTACAGATGAGAAGAGAAAAGTTACTATTCCTTCATTCACTCATTCATTCATCAAACATTTACAGAGCACCTACCGTGTGCCAGGCACTATTCAGACCCCGGGGAAACAGGGATGGTGTACAGGACAGTCCCCGCCCGCACAGCGCTACAGTCTAACACTGACTGTCTCCCAGAAGCCAGAGCCCACCAGAGGCAGAGCTAGAACCAGAACATGGAGTACTGAACCTTCAGCAGATTCTCAAAGGACTCTGTAGCCCAAATGAGGTTAAGAGTCCACTGAATTAGACCAAATTAACTACCAGCTTCCCCATCAAGTAGAAGAAAAATGACCCACAAGCTTCCAGAGGAAGTGTGGTGCTCTCAAGTGAAATTTGTGGGGGCATACTGTCACACACCCATGGTGACACAACCATTCACCTTTTCTGCCTACTCCTCACTCCCCAGATCTCCCCAGATCCTGCCACCACCACCCCGCCCCGGCCTGCTCCTTTAGCTCCTCACACCCTCTTAATCAGCCCCGTGCTCTTCTCCGAGTCACTCACTCAGGGCCCACAGATGCTGGTGGCACTGGAGCATAACCTGTTGCTAAACTGTACTGAGGAACAGAGAGAGGTTGGGGACTGGATTCAGAGATATGTCCTCTCTGAAAACCTGCGTTTTCAGCAAAGGCCATGAAAGTGAAATTTCTGCCTCCATGAAAGTATGTATGAGACTCAAGTTAGAGGGCATGACTGAAACTGCTTTTGCTGGGGGCCGGGGGAGCCAGGGGTGGCGGAGGTGAATGGAGGGGGGCTATGCAGGGACAGGCAGCAAGCTTGCCTCCCTCAAGCCCTCCAGAAATATTTGAGTTTCCTCAGAAAGGTTTAAATAGGCCCTGCCAGTAACACAATACTTCCCCTGCTCTGGGTCAGACGGGACAAGGGCAACCTGGTGCCCAACACCCTAGAGAAGTTTGGCAGGCTGGCATAAAAAGCCCCCTGCCCCAAATCACCCAGCCCTACTACACCAGACAGACACAGCCTACTCCAGGCCAAGCTGTCACTCTGGAACCCTCCACCTCTCCCCAGAAAGCTCCCATCTCCTAGGACCTCCAGCTGCCTTATTTGGATAGAAGGCTCTCAGTGGGAAGAAAGCACAACAGGAAAGCAGGCAGGGCTAGAGGGTCAGTGATTCTTGCTAGATCCCTCCCAAGGACCCCTGGCCCACAGAAAAATCACTGGACTCCCCCTTCCTCTGGTGGGCTGGTCCTGGAGGTACACACTGCCCAAGCTCCGAAGAGGGGTATTTGCCCCACAACGTGCCCCTTCTGTCAAGCCCCCTTTGGAAGGGGTCGGGGATGTATTCATAGAAACGTCTGGGACTCCTTTCTCTCACTTGTACTCCTCTGTGCCTCTTTTAAGCTCACTACAATTCCCAGTCAAAATGAAATCATGCAGCAAATGGGGAGAAGTGGGAGAGGCAGAAGTCATTTTAAAAAGGGTCTCTGGCTTTGAGCAGCTGGGTGGGGGCTGTTTGGAACAAGGATAGAGGGAGCTGCGGAGACAGCTCGGGTGACAGGAAGTTGCAGGGGTGGCTGTGTCCCTCCAGCCTCCCTCCTCCGAGAGCAGAATGGGGAAAATATCAGGACACATTGCAAAACAACCTTCCTTCCTCCCCCTGCCCCCAACAGATGGAAGAGAGGAAAGTTGTGGTCATCATTTACCTGCTGAAATGGGGAGGACGCTGTTGATGAAAGAAGGCTGAGACATGATAAAGCGGAAGGAAAGCTGAAGATAAATTCCCAAAGTCACTGGATTCAGGACAACCATGCTGGCTGGGGTCTGGCAAGTGTCAAGTTCTCAAGGCAAGGCTGCCGTGAAGCCTCTCTTATCTCTGCCTTTGTCTTACTGCTGTTTGCGCCTCTCTCTCTCTCTCTCTCCCTCCCTCCCTCTCCCCCTCTCCCTCTCTCCTGTCTCTCTCTCCTTTCTCCATGCCTTTACCAAGAAAGAATGCCAACCATTTCCCATTAAACCTTCTCCGTACTCCACAGGGTTATATTTATCTCAAGCACTGGATCAAATGCCCACATTAAAATTAATATGTCAGAATTTTCTCTTTTGGACATTGAGGTAAGTGGCTACTGAGGAGCTGATGAAAAGGCAGCCAAGCCTCAAATGTTCTCTAGAAGCAGACCTCAAAGGGCAGACCGATTTCCTCATTATCCACCAGCAGCTACCTGCTTGGAACTGAGATGTCCTACAGCATCACAGAATCAGCTTTCCTGATTCAAACTGAATTTCCACAGAGACCAATCAATCCCTCTACTGTTGGCCTGTGACTTTTTTACCCACTGGGTGACAAACATAAAGTGGACCTTGGATTATTTTTTCTTTAATCATCCAGTTAAAAATGGGGGAGGCATATTTTCTAAAATACTCCTTTTCTCTAGGAAAAAATGTTTATTCTCTCTCCAGAAGCAGCAACCTTTTATCTCATCCAAAGCAAAATAAGTGAAAAGACAGAAAGTGAATGATTATCAAACTATATTTGGAGAAATGGCATCAATGACTTGATCTGTGGCTAGACAAAATTCGAGTAAAAACTACAGCATCCTTAAATGAATACCTCTTATGAGCTTATAAACCCTGTTACAGAGACCCTTAGATTTTTATTTATTTTTTATTTTTTTAAAGATTTTATTTATTTATTTGTCAGAGAGAGAGCAAGCATGCGCACAAGCAGGCAGAGGTGGAGAGAGAAGCAGGCTCCCTGCTGAGCAAGGAGCCCAATGTGGGACTCGATCCCAGGACCCTGGAATCATGACCTGAACCGAAGGCAGCGGCTTAACCAACTGAGCCACCCAGGCGTCCCAACCCCTAGGTTTTTAAAATGATGAAAATAATAATCTACAGAGTTGTCCATTTTAGTTTAATTTACATAATGTCCTCCCAGTGTCTCATGGGAGTTCACTGAGAAATGGTTTGGTAGTTACTGGACTCTGGGCTGGGCCTCCTGGGGGAAAAGCACTGATCCTCATCCCAGGGGGAAGGCAGAGTGTAAGGCAACACTCCCCAGATCTTTCTTGCACCAGGTGCATCTGACTCCCAGCACCACTGTAACAGCAGACAAAACATTTGACATCTTTGAGCCTCAGTTTTCTTATCATGAAATGGAGGCCATGTTCCCTTTAAGGGTTTGTTGGGAAGGTTAAATGAGGTAACATGGGATGAATCAGACATGAGTTAAAATCTGTGTACAGAGACAGCAAAAATGAAATCCAGGGAGCTGTGGATTGAGCGCAGGGATGGCCACTGAAAGTCTCCCATCCCTGTATGTTCCTACCATTCTTCCCAGCAAGAGGTGGCGTCCACTTGCCTCCCCACTGAATCGGGCTGGCCTTGGGGTTGGCTTTGACACATACAGTGTTGCAGAAGGGAGACTGTGCCATTTCCAGGCTGAGGCCTTACTAAGCCTGGCAGCTTCTACCTTTGTCTTTTCTTAGAAACTGCCACACAAGAAGTCAGGGCGGTCAGACGGGCCACAGGGACGGGAAAGCATCCAGCCCCTGGTGCCCGGCCACCTCAGATGAGGCACTGACCACACGAGCAAGGACAGCTGGAATCAGCCAGTCCCACGCAGGTCTCCAGATGATAGAGGCAGTCACGGGAGTTATCCCTGGCGAGACCAGCTGAAGAACTGCCAAGGTGAACCCACCCCAGACTACAGATTCGTGACTATATAAAATGGCTGTTGTTTTAAGCTACTCAGTTTTAGGATGATTTGTTATGTAGCAAGAGCTAACTGACAAAGGGTTTACAAGAAAGTCTTTCGAAAGCATGAAAAATAAACTTGGGTTACATTCAAAATTAACAGGACAGCTTTAGCTGTTCCCAAACTATTTGACGGAAGGATCTGTGATTGCTGGCTGAACCCACCAGGAAACTCTCAGGCTTGTTCTCCTTAACTCCTGAAACCTGTAGTCCCAACAATGGGGTTTGGTGGCCTGGAGAAGGTGGGATCTACCCAGGAGGAAGGTAACTCTTGAGTGACTTGGTGCCAAAAATCTGAACTTTCACCATCCAGCTCAGATTCCTCCTGTGAAACCAAATTCATTTCTTTCTTCTCTTAATACCTGGATCTCACCATTGACTGTGTAGTCGGCACAAGGTAGATCAATATGTCCGTCCTGTGACACCCTCTGCTACAATTTTTGAGCTACTTCTATACTACCTTGCATTGCTATTTAACTTGTATTAATGTCCCTGAAGACGGAACACTGTCCCATAGCTCTGTGTACCCCAAGACGGTCCTTGTCACCTCATCCTCAACAATGTCAGTTAATTCAATCAAAACACAGCACCATAGGATAAAAAGATAAGTGGAAAAACTGGCATGATCTTATGCTCCAGGCACACTGAGCCAATTGCATTTCCCAGCCCCCTCTTTGTGCCTTTGCACGTACAGTTGGCTGGCCTGGGTCTGGTACAAGACAGGGTTTTGGCGAGGATGGGGAGAAAGTGAAAGGGAGTGTGGACAGACAGCCACGAAGAGTTAGGGCCTGCCAGGAGAGGCTACATGTATACATTCAGGCCACTGGGGTGTGAGTCCCCTCTGCCCTTCCGGGAGGTTGCACAACACAGGTACTGATAAGCCCCAATACTTAAGAAACAGATCTGCAAATTTCCATTTCCCATGGATTGTCTATTTTATGAGCCTTTTTCTTACAGAGTTGCCCTGACTGAAAAGTTATCATCTTTCTTCAAACTCTCCTGAAGCGCTCTCAATCTTTCAGAATCTAATAACACAGGCTACTAGATTATCCAGAAGGAAATTATTTGAGATCTGTGAAAGGCTTACAACAATAAAACCAATCAAAACTTGAGCTTTCTCTTGCAGGCCATGGAGGTAAGAGTGTATGTATACTGGTGCACAATCCGATGATACCATCAACACACAACTTACACGTGTCATTTGACCCAGAAAGTCCACAGAAATACTCGTTCAACTGCCCAGTGGTTGAGGTGCAAGAATGTTCATTATAGCTTCAGATCTAAAACAGCCTGACTTTCTGTGAACATAAGATTATTGAATAAATCATGGGACCTCTCTTCAGTGTAACATTATACAGTCATTGCAAAGGATAAAGTAGTCTTTGCAACAAACGATGCTGGAAAAATGAGTCCTCCATATGCAAAACAAAAATAATCTTAACTCTTACTTTGCCTCATATGTGAAAATTAGCTCAAAATAGATCATAGACCTAAATGTCAAAGTGAAAACTAGTTAAACTTCTAAAAGAAAACATGAGAAAAGTTTAGTGACCTTGGGTTAGGCGAAGATTTCTCCTTTTATTTTTTTATTTTTTTTATTTAAAAGATTTTATTTATTTATTTATTTGACACACAGAAAGAGAAATCACAAGTAGGCAGAGAGGCAGGCAGAGAGAAAGGGGGAAGCAGGCTCTCCAATGAGCAGAGAGCCCAATGTGGTACTCGATCCCAGGACCCTGAGATCATGACCTGAGCTGAAGGCAGAGGCTTAACCCACTGAGCCACCCAGGCGCCCAGATTTCTCCTTTTAAATTAAAAATTTTTTTCTTAAATAAAAATGGTATATGTTTAAAGTATATATCATGATGTTCTGATACACATGTATTTCATGAAATGACTACTATAGTCAAGCTAATTAACATATCTGTCAACTCCTATGGTTACCTTTTTCCTAGTGAAATGCTTAAAAACTAGTCTCTTAGAAAATTTCAACTGTATGAAACAATACTATTAACTATAGCCACCATGCTGTCCATTATTATTCATCCTATATAACTGAAACTTTGTATCCTTTGACCAATCCACTACCCTTTGACCAATCCTCCACTTTCCCCACCTTCTCTAACCCCTGATAATCATTTGACTCTCTATGAAAAAACTTTTTTAAGTAGGACAAAAAGGCACCAATCATTTAAGAGAGTGTTAAATTGGACTTCATAAAAATGCTTAAACTTCTGCTCTTTGAAAAATAATGTTAAGTCAAAAGACAAACCAAAGACTAAGAGAATAGATTCGCAATACATGTATATGATAAAGGATGTGTAATCAGAATTTATAAAAAACTTTTGCAACTCAATAATAATGAAACAAATAACCCAATTAAAAGAAAAGGGCAAAACACCAATACTTTACCAAAGGAGGTATATGAATGGCAAAATGAGCACGTGAAAAAATATTCAACATCATTAGTCATTAGGGAAATCTAAATTAAAATCTTAATGAAACATTGCTATGTATTACTAGAATGGTTCAGTTTAAAAAGACTGACAATTCCAAGTGTTGGTGAGGATGTGGAGCTCCTGGAGCTCTCTCGCATTGCTAGTGGGAATATGCAGAATGGTACAACCACTTTGGAAAACAGTTTGGCAGTTTCTTGTAAAGTTAAATATACACTTATCATACCACACAACAATACTGCTCTTTGGTATTTATACAAGAAAAATGAATCCATATCCACCAAAAGAGACTTGTACGTGAATGTTCCTAACTATTTTGTTTGTAATAACAAGAAACTAGAAACAACCCAAATGGCTATCAGCTGGTATAACCACTTGTGTACAATGCAATACCACATGGCAATAAAATGTAACAACACTACTGAAACAAGTATCATGGATGAATCTCAAATGTGTTATGCTAAAGCCAACACGAAAGGCTACAGAATGCATAACTTCATTTATAAGGCATTCTGGAAAAGGCAAAACTTACTGGGATGGAGAACAGCTCAGTGGTAACCAGCAGTTATGGTCATGAGAGTCAGCTACAAGGGGAACTTCTGG